CAAGAAAATTCCTGAAAACCTGTGTCCTTCTGATCCTCTCCTTCCTTCATTTTGAGCATTGGGTATTTGTCCCAGCAACAAGTAAACAGTAACTAAGACACCAAGTTAACGTGCACTTAATATTTGCTCAATATTTTTTCAACAAATAATTACTTTCTTAATTATGATGAACTTCTTCTCAAAGGTACTTAGGCCATGTCCTAGATATCTTACGCTATTACCAGCAATGATTGATCGCTAGTTACAGTAGCAATTTAGCAACGTTCAGGTGGGTATCATGTTTGCACTCCTACACCGTAAGGCACCTGTCTCCACGTGTTTCCAGGAATGCAGGGTCTCTGGGAGAAGTGTCCCAAAGCAGTCCTGAACAGGTGAGAGAGGTGTTGCAGTTGAGCTACCTTTCATCCATCAACTGTGACTGCTGAGAATGTATCAGCGTCATCGACTGAATATCAGCATGGTACACGTCAGACGGCGCTCTTCGGTTTTACAGTGCGTTCAGAAGCCACTGTTGTCAAGAGTGGTGGTCTTTTAACTTGACAAGTGCCATTTTTTGGTTGTGTATGAATTGCTAAAAAGTTTTGAACAGAGTTCTGTTAAATTTACAACTAAAAGATTTGATTATTAATATTAGTAATGTATTAGTCCTAAAATTATCAAATCACGATGAGATTTTCTTCATCCATGGGATTCAACACGGAGGACTAACTAAGTGTTATTGATGGGAATATTCCAAGTATAAAGAAGAAAACAGATTTTCCCCTAAATTATAAAAGATTTATCTTACTACAAATCAAACCTACAGCTCTATCTGTCTATCTATCTATCTATCTATCTATCTCTCACAAATAGATATTCTGGCTGGTCTTTTCTGTCATATGAGAGGAAAATTCCTCAGTTAAGGTATGTTGTCACTTTGTCAAATGTGCCCCCTTGAGCTCCTGAGTATCATGAGAGAGACTGACTAAGGTGAAGAAGGAGGTGGCAGTGTGTGTTGTGTTCAGTGACCTCCAAGGATATCGCAATAGGAACATCTTTGCTGTCTTAGGAGCAAACCTGGTCAAGTTGTTTTTATATTTTATCTTCTAATTATCTACGTACGTCTGAATTCTGTCACTGCAGTTGGAAACAATTTGGATGAAAGAGCAACAGTCACGCATACAAGTAGCCTTAAGATTTCACTCACAATTGACTTCAAAATTTTACTCTCAGTTACAGAGTTCTGTTGATAAATCTGCAGGCTCTTTTTGTCACATGAGTCCTTGGATCCTTTCTAAGCATATTGCTCCCGCTTAGTTAGCATCCCTTTGCCCAGGTGGGGGTCTGCAGCAGTCTTTACCTGGCTCATTTCTGTCATCATAAAGGCGCCGATGGGAAAATGAATCTGTTTTCCTCTTTCCACACAACAAGTAGCCCACGAGGCTGAGCAAGGAAACTCCCAGAATCGCCCCTAGAATGGCCCCAAACACCACTCCAGGATTTTTGTTTTCTGGAGGACAAATAAAGTTACAGTAAAGATGTAGGAAGTAATTATTAAAAACCACAATGGAATGCATGTGGACTTTCTAGGTACAAAAGAGTGTTCAGAGGGTGTCAAAATTAGGTAACATCGACACTGTGCATTTGTGTATGTGTGACACACACACAGACACATGGAGAGCAAGCCACGGTTGCTTGTCGTCGCACTTAATTACGTCTAAGTCTTAGCTTTATGCCTCCAGCATGAGCATGGGAAGGCCGGGTGTCTTCACCACTGACAGCTAGTGTCAGCATCGGGTGCTGTACTCAGTGAGTTCTTCATGAACTCTAAACCTCTGATAAAATTTAATGGCTGTGTGAAGTTTGAGTTTTTTGGCAGAACTGGGGGTTGAACTCAGACCCTTGCGCTTGTCAAGGAAGCGCTTATTCTACTGAGCCATCTCCCCAGCCCTAAATTATTAAATTTTATATTTCAAAGTTTGACATAAACCTGAAATTCATGAAACAGCTAAATTGCACATAAATGATTTTCATTAGGATTTAAATTAAAAGTTAAGGCAGATTTTCTTCCATTGAGGTTGTCCAAATACATTTTTACTTGCAGAGTTCTACTATTGTCTTGTGTCATCCAATAATTTATAAATTCATTCATTTTGTTTAATTTTTCAAAACTTGCACACATATACTTTTAAAGTTCATCTTGATAGTAATTCTATAAGCACATGAAATTCTAAGCTAAGCTTTGGTAAAAATTGTTAGCGAGGAATGCCAACTCTAGAAAATACTAGACAAATTTTCATTTGTTTCCCTTTCCAAACTGAGTTTGTATTCCTCTGCTTTCCAAGTTTCTGCAATGCTTTGTGTTGTGTTTCTTTCTAGATTGTTTGTTCCGTAGTTCTCAAAGGGTAGTGAAATAAACAAAGTTGAAATCACCCTTTTTTATGAATAGGGCAGGGTATACAGGGTCTCACCGCATACATCGGACTCATAGTGACCCTCTTGTTTATAGCCTCCCAAGTGCTTGGATTATAGGTGTGCACCACCATGCCCAGCCTCAGTCTCTGTCTCAGTGTACTCCAGGGGGCGCCTGGCACAGCAGGCCTAGGGATTGAACTCCCAGTCCCTGCATCTGCCTAAGTAGGTGCTTTAATCAGCTGAGCTACTTGGCCAGCCCTCAGCTCCTATCTTTATTGATCTAAGCTTCTCATTTCTTCCCAGAGTCTATTCACGATCTGTGACAATGCTTAGCAAATGCTCAATTAAGCTTGAAAGAACTTCACTATTTCCAATATACTTGGTGACTCCTTTCCAAATAAGTAAGAATTACCTGTGCTGTTACACTTGGCATTATTTTTCTAGAACGATACAATCCTTAAATTCAATCTCTGACTTACTTGGAGATTCAATTCCAAGTCAAAGAAAAATTCAAGTCATTTATATTTACCTTTCTGGGGCTCTGACGTACTCGGAAAGAGCTTCGAATTGTTAGTGAATTTCAAAGTGGGCTGTACTGTTGATTTTTCTTGATAGGGAGTAAAGCCCGCAAAGCTGTCTGCATCTGTGGGGGTCCATCCAGTTGGCTCCGTTGTGAGCGGTGTCACAGACTGGGTGGTTGGCACTGGAGGGAGGATGCTGATGCCAGTGGAGCTATTGTTGGGAACGTACACAGTGTCCTTGTCCAGGGACCAGCTGAAGTTTTCTAATGATGCAGTCCTTGTGGAATTGGGGTGTGTTGAGACCTGGACAAGACTTTCATCTGCTAGAGTTGAGTTCAAAGGCAATTTGGAAACAAAGCTGTGGACCAAGGGGGGGCTTGTAGAAAATGTGGCCGTGGGTCCTGGAGCCTTAGTGAAACTGCCTGTGGTTAAATTTCTGGTCGAAGTTGTTACATAGGATGAGTCCAAGCGAAGTGAATGAGCTGCCCTGGCCATGGAGACATTTTTGTTTTCTTTGTCTGAATTTTCATTTGTTTCTTTTTCCAAACTGAGTTTGTATTCCTCTGTTTTCCAAGTTTTTGCAATGCCTTGTGTTGTGTTTTTTTCTAGATCATTTGTTCCATAGTTCTCAAAGGGCAGTGAAATAAACAAAGTTGAAATCAGCACAATTTTGGCTAAAGTCAGCATTGTGGCTTTTCTTGCTATTGGCTTTACTCAGAGGAATCTGAAAAAAATATAATTTGAATTATTAAATTAAGTATTGAGTTTCTATGTACCTACATTATTATTATTTTTACTATTATTATTTTTTTCAGTCTTTTTTGTTTCTTGTTTTTTTCTATTTTGTGCAAGGTCTCCTTATGCAGTTTGGACTCATAGTAATTCTCCTGTTTTCAGCCACCCCAGTGCTGGGATTACAGGCATGTGCCACCACACCCGGTCTCGATCACAAGTTCAGTGTGCCCAGAGGCAGAGCCAACACATCATGCAGTACTGGGGATCAAAGCCCAGTCCCTGTGCTTGACAAAGCAGGTGCTTAGTCCGCTGAGCTGTCTAGTAGATGCCTGGAAAGTTCTTTATGAACTCTAGACATGTATTTCCTTCCTCTAGCTCAACAAGCATTTCATTCCCATCTACTCTGAACCTGTTTACCACTGTCACTAACGCAAGCTGTAGAAGCAATGTCGAGACCACTACATGGAGGAAGAGGGCTAGATTTTGCACACTGTTGCCAAATTTGAGATACTGTGGTTATATTGGGCATATTCTACTTAATCCCAAATTGGGAAGAGTTAGGAAGAGTTTTGGGTTTTAGGAATTATACTCACACTCCTATTCGATAAATGAAGAATTTGAGTGCAGGTGGAGACTCGACATAGTTAGAACTGGGTGTAAAATCACAGCGCTGAACTGCAACCCATGGCTATCTTCTGGCCTCCATGCAGAAGTGCACAGTTCGTAAACTGGACTGAAAGGAGGGCGACTTCGAGGGCCAGCTCTGTGTTTCAACCCTGCCGTCTGCAGTAGAGACCTGCTTACAGCGATCGCTGTAACGAACTGCTGCTTCACCAGCAGGACAGCACCCAAGCTGACAGGTTCTGAGAAGCAAGCAAGATGGCAGAGGAAGAGGCGCCCTGCTGAGCCCTGGCCAACAGGAAGGGCTTGGCAGCAGCAAGCCATGCCTGCGGCATTCTCCTGTCTCACTCGGTCCTCTGCTGTCTCACAGCCATACCGCCCTCCTGAGACAAGACTGGAAGTGCAGCTTATACGAAGCACAACCTGCATGTGACCTACCTACGACTCAGAGCACTATGAGTGAAATTTAGTCAATAGAAGCAGACCACTCAACTCCAGGCCTACTTTGTGCACAAATTGAAGGTACTTTGAACTGAAGATTTATGTAAAGCAAAAATTGCACTAGTTCTTCCGATTTTTTGTTAAAGTTAGACCATTCCTCTTCAAACAATAAAATGAGAGATCTACCTGTACAGTCCCTGAATGGGACCTTATTGTGCTTAGAATCTTTCAAGCTGGTGGACCCAGAAAACAGAAGGAGATGTGGCCGCTGCTCTTCAGGTCCCATAATGCCTGCTGTTTCTCAGAGC